GAAAGCGAGAAATCACCCCCCAAGGGGGATGGCCACGCCACAGTCCCTTCTCCTTTCTCCTCTAGGGATCTTGGGCACGCACGCACATGCGCCTGGCGTGAGTTTAAGCCACTGGGTCCAGGACGTGAACCGCAGTTGACTAGATGGAAGTCCAGCGACATAACCATTACGCTAACTGCTGGTCCCAGTCCCAAGATTTTTAATTTCAATGTGATTTCTAGTTGTAGTTCTATCTCTAGTCTCACTTCCCTTGCATCCTATGTGTATGTTGCAATATATTTAGATAAAGAATTCAATTATTTGATGAATTTGATGAGTACAGAAATCAACCTCTGACAAGATCCAAAAATAATTTTTCTACTCATTTTCCTCCTTAAGAAACAGATCATATTTTAGCAATTTATGATTTCTTTGTGTTCTTTTTTTTTTTTACCCTGTCCTTACACTATAAATCATAATGGAATGAAATGTCTTTTTTTCTATTTTAGTACATAGTTTAACCCTCGGTTTTGTGGCAGTTGTTTATTTATTTATTTTTCTTAAATCAAATACCAGTTTGCCAAAAGCCAATCACTCTGACACTGACATTTGGAGCAGTAATTTATTCTAACCTCAGGGAATTAGCTTTTCAGGAGTAAATTGAGCATTAAAAATTTCTATCTGATGTTTTAAAAAAGTTCCATGGAACCTCCTATCAACTAGCCAAGTGAAGCATGGCATATTGGCACTTACTTTTAGGTAGCATGGGATTCCAAAAAAATATTCTTGACTTGAATTGATTCTTTCAAACATTAACGTGATTCATGCAGTGACTTTCCCTGTGTTTAAGTAATATTTGCCTTCTCTATGTCCATGTCAATGTGAATGGCTTCTAGCAAATTCTAGCAAATTAGTGTGGGTGCAAGAAAACCCCCAGAATATGGGGAACATAGTTGATAATGAAATAAAAACATGATTCTCTTGAAATTAGTTGTGTAAATAGAGTAAAAAAAAAAAAAAAAAAAAAAATAAAGTATATAGAGTTTTTTTGTTCCTGAATTGAGTGATTAGGTAATTATATGGAGTTACTACTATAGCAATGTTGATGATGGTAATAGGAATGACATTAATAGTGAACTTCTGTGAGACATTTGTTATATGCCAGATAGTATAAAATACCATCTTAAAGGCAAGAACTATTCTCTTTTTTTGAGAGACTTTTCTATAGTGCACATGTGCTCAACAGAATAAAAGAAAGTAAGAAATTGTCCTCTTCCTCCAGAGCGGATGGCCATGCCACAATCCTTTCTCCTCCTGGGATTTTAGGCATGCATGCACATGCGCCTGGTGTGAGTTTCAAGCCACTGGGTTTAGGACTCAAATTGTGGTTGGCCATGTGGGAGTCCAGCTCCTTAACCACCATACTACCTGCTGGCCCCAGAGCAAGAGCTTTTGTTAATCCACATTTTTTCCTTCACTCATGATAGAGCCAATGGGTATGTGTGTTTGTGTGTGCGTGTATGTGTGTGTGTGAGAGAGAGAGAGAAGCATCATCAACAAAATCTGTCAACCCATGAGCTGGGGTCAACAACCCATGGATCCACGAAACTAGTGTTTCTGCCTGGTATGTTTTCAGGCTGACGAGGCCATGAATCCAAAACATGGTCACATGTGGGATCTGGCTTTTTTCTTTTCCTTTTTTAAGGTAGAGTGAGAGAGTGAGGGAAAGTGAGAAAGTATGCTATCAGGTCCAGGACTTGAACTACAGTCTGGTCATGCAGGAATACAGCATCTTAACCACTACACCACCTGCCAGACCCAGGATCTGGCATTCTTCAAGTAGCACATTACTACTGTGCCGTGTAGCCAGCCTATTTTATTGGTGATACATAGATAGATAGATAGATAGATAGATAGATAGATAGATAGATAGATAGATGCCTGGGTTAGATAACTTGACCAAAATTCCATAAGATACTATTTGCTGAAACTAAGAGTTATCACAAAATTTATTTGATTCCTACCACTATTCTATGTAGGGAAGGGTTCATTTAAGTTGGTATATAAAATTAATCACTCTATTTTTAAAACTTGGAATTTGAGGAAGTAGTGAACATGGCATCTGGTTGTTAGAAATGCACTCATTTGGATGGCCTCAGTGTTTCAGACTGAGATCCTTAGAAGCAGAGCATAAGTCACGATGTGGTTTGTTAAGATGCATGTGGTTTATTGAGAGAATGTTCATGAGAAAAAGGGAGGGAGCAAAATAAGTACATTCAAGTCTACAAGGAAGGCTATGACTACAGCTGGAGTCTACTTTCAGCCTAACCATGTAGAAGTCTCTGGAGCAGCAATTGCTCTAGAGAACTGGTCGCACTAAAAGGCAGGAGGATGTACATTTGCCACCCAAGGTTAGTCACTTATTAGCTGCACACTGCTCCTAAAGATGGGGTATAAATAACCTCAGAGCCAGCTTCTATTCAGCCAAAGAAGGGGATAGCTGTGAATCATTAGCAGCCTATTAAACATCATGTGCCTTTTTTAGGAATGAGGGAGGGAGAGGACGCAATAATTTTTCTTTTACTTTGTGAAGTTAGTCTTGACATACCCCAGGCTACCTAGCCACTGAAAACCTTCACTGACAAAGCAGAAATCCTAAATCCTTATAAAGTATATTCTCACCATCTGGTGCCCATCTGTCTTACTAAGACATCTGGAGCACTTGGTACTTATTGTTCAACATGTCTGATTAATGTGATATTATCAGTGTAGTGACTTCATTTTATTTTTCCAAATAGTTCATAATGTTCTAACATACCGTGGTAGAAAGCAGGAAAATTACTGTAACCTTGGGGCAAAGTGTATCTTTTTTCCTAATGTGTACCTTTCTTCTTTTTTACTTTTTTTTTTTTTTCTCTTTAATTGCTAGAGGGCACATGCCCTTCACCAGAAAGAGGAGAAAGAGAGGGAGAAAGCACCACTGATGGGGTGTGCTCATGTTACACTCCCATCTCCTAAGTTTCTCCATCCTACTAGGCTTTTGAGAAACTTATGCCCACTAAGTTTTTAAGCCTCTGAAGCTGCAGTTCAAACCATGGCTGGCCATGTGCAAGTTGGGTCTCTTAACCACAAGGCTACACAGCTGGCCCATGTATAATAATTTTAATGTATACTGTTGTCCCTTCCATGTAAAAGCAATTTTTTTTCCTTTTTTTTGGAGATGTTTTTTGTTACAGGGCGCACACACTCACCAGAAAGACAGAGAGAGACAGAGAGACAGAAAGTGAGAAATCACCCCCCCAGGAGGGTGGCCACACCACAATCCCTTCTCCTCCATTCTCCTCTCAGGATCTTGGGCTTGCACACACAGGCGCCTGGCGTGAGTTTAAGCCACAGGGTCCGGTACTCAAGCTGTGGTCAACTACATGGGAGTCCAGCAACACAGCCATTATGCCAACTGCTGGTCCCAAAGCAAATTGTTTTGAACTCATTTATTTTTGGTATTAGGAAAGAAAGAAAGAAACAAAGACAAAAAAAATCGCTACCAACTGATTTCCCAGAGCAATAAGCCCCATACCACACACTGGCTTTGTTAATTTGTTCTATGAAAGATGTCTCATCAAGGTCAGCTCTACTGTCTGAACTTGCTATAATTGCTACAAATTAATGATTAAGCTTTTCTTGCCCCAAGGACTAAGATTGTATAACAAATAGAAATGCAATGGGTATCACCATCCCTGTATTCTTTAAAAATTTAAGGGATGCTGGGTCCAGCAGATGGTGTCATTGTTACATCATCAGACTCCCACATGGTCGATGGTGTTTCGTGTTCTGGACCCTGGAGCTTAAAACTTAAGCCCAGAGCGTGTGAGTGCATGCTCAAAAAATCCCAAGAGGAGAATGTAGGAGAAGGGATTATGGCATGGCCATCCCCCCTGAGAGGTGATTTCTTGATTTCTGTCTCTGTGGAGAGTGCATGCAACCTATAGCAAAAATTTCTCTATTAAAAAGAAAAATTATGGGATACTTATCCCTCATGCTTTTTCTCCAAATGTACCATACAGTTTATTCCAATTGGGAACCAGGGAAACCACTACTGTGTGGATCCATGGACCACCTGTGAGACAAAACTGAACTGGAGCACCATTTATTTCCTGGTCCATAGCTCCCATTATCATGTGAGGAGCTGTGGTGGTGATGACAATGCTTTTCATTCCTGGATTATGAGTTTCAATGTAGATCCTGTATAAAAAAGTCCTTGGACAATCTAATTGATTTCCTTTATGTAGTGCATCACTTGGAAAGTAAATGGTATGAATGCCTTTGAGAAAGAAATGAAGAAGTCATTCCTCTGTTCACTTACGTTGTCATAAGGTCCTAACTCATGGGGATTATCAGTGAGTGAGTTTCAGACCTGGTAACTGGGCAAAAAATTATGACTTATTGGGGCATCTGGCCTCAGCCCAATTTATAGCAATATCTTCTAAGGGACAGTTTACACAGAACAGCCTCTATTGACTTTCTCAGTGAATGCAGATTCTCCCTAGCAACATATTTCTTGTCACCAGGATAAAAGATATGTCCTTCAGGTCCCCTAGGGGGACATAGTCTGTTAGTGGTTTTTCCTGTCTTACATAGTAGACACATCGTAGCAAGTATTTGTTTTTTTTTTTTTTTCTTTCTGAGTATTTTTATGTCTTCTTCTACTCTCTGCTATGGCTTTTTTCAAAATTTCAAGAACTATCCCTCCTTTGGCTAAAAATGAGCCCTTAGAACCCTTGTCACAGTGTTGAATCCAGAGTCATAGGCATATAACACATTGTTTTTTTTTTTTTTTTTTTTTTTTTTTCTTATTTATGATTAGTTGGTTACCTGACTGGATGATTGACGTCATAGGCATATAACAAATTTTTTTTTTTTTTTTTTTTTTTTTTTGTATTCTAATTTATATTCTGTCCCTTCTTCCTGGATCCAGCACCCTGAGGATGTACTTTTAATCATACTCTTCTTATTTCTCACAGCATATATTGACAGCTTTTTCAACATAGAATTCTCTCTTGATTTCGTAGGCCAGCACTTACTCAGTTGGCCAGTGCTGAGACCTAAACCTGATTTTTACAATGCCCAAGATGGGGAGGGAGGCAGATCTGGGAAGGCTAAACATTTTCTTGCAGGTTTCTTGCCTCATTCTGAGTTTTTTCGGATTCTTCAGGTGAGACCCTCTAACAAAGGGAGTAAGATGGCGAATCTAGGGAATTGATGGTTCCCAAGCAGATCTCCCAAAGTATCATATGCCAGGTTCCACTGGGAAGGGGAGGGAGTTGGTTACTTCCTTTGTTAGTTTGTTTTACCAAAGGGAATTTTCTTCTGATCAAAAACTCCTGCTTTCCCTGAAAATTCTCTGAAGCAATGTTTCTCAAATTTTTTGTGTTTATTAGAATCGCCCAGAGGACTCAGCAGAACACAAATTCCTGAGCCTCAAGCCAACGCTTGTAGTTTGCTAGGTCTGGTTAAGGGACTAAGTTCTTGCATTTCAAATCCCATCACAATGCTGATGGAGAGATTTAGGGATCACATTCTGAGAACCACTACCTTGGAGACAGGGGCAACTCTGAGCCATTAGCGATAAACACACCCAACCACTGCAGAGTGAATGTACCTTCCTCAAGAAAGGTAGAGAAAACCTGGGGGGTGTCAAATCATCCATTTAGTACTGCATAAACATAAGTGATGTTGAAACAACCATTCTGACCAAATTAATTTATTGCGGAAGAGCATCCCTACAAGAATCTCTACATGTTGCCTCATTTAAACATTTATTGCATTAACAACATTAACATGGATACTGTATTTTTTTTTCCCCTGTCAACTTCTAAATAAAAAAGTAGAAAAACTCTACACAAAAAATGATGTTTATTTAGGACTAGGGAATATAATGTGGAATACTCTTGCCATAGTAGAGTATGGCCATATTCAAAGAGTTAAGAGGAGATGAGGGTTTTTTAAAGTGTGGAAGGATTGGAACCAGCAGATGGCATAATGGTTATGTCGTTGAACTCCCATGTAACCAACTGTGGTTCAAATCCCGAACTTGAACTGGGACTTAAAAAATTCACGCCTGGTATGCGAGTGTGTGTGTGCCCAAAATCCCAAGAGGAGAATGCATGGCCATCCCCTCAGAGGCTGATTACCCCCTTTATGTCTCTCTGTCTCTCCGGCAAACCCTACACCAAAAATCTCTCTTTAAAAAGGTGTGGAAGGACTATGTAATTTGTTTTGGAACCATTGTTCTTGGTTATAAGATTTAAGTGATAATGGTGATTTCAGTTCAAGGTTGGACAGATTTCTGCACAGATATCCTTGCAAAAATATTTTTTTGTTTAAGTTAGTTGTTCTGGAAGAATCCTTGTGACAGTTCTTGTTATCAAGCATACTTTCCTGAGAATTACTCCCTTCAGAGTCTTCCCTGGCTTTATTTAGTCAGAGTTTCACACAAGTTGACACAAATTACCTTCTTTCGATTCAACAGCATTTTTGCTTTCAAATGATATAATCATGAGAACTTCGGTGCTTTCTAGGCTTTTCCTTACTTCATTGGTTTGGAACATTTTTTTTTTTTCTTTTGGAGAGGTTTTTGCTGTAGGGCGTGAGCGCTCATCAGAAAGATGGAGACAGAGAGACAGAAAGCGATAAATCACCCCCCAGGGGGAATGGCCACACCGCAATCCCTTCTCCTCTGTCCTCCTCTCAGGATCTTGGACACGCATGCATACGCACCTGGTGTGAGTTTAAGCCACTGGGTCCAGGACTTGAACCATGGTCAACTATGTGGGAGTTCAGCGACATAGCCTTTATGCTAACTGCTAGTCCCAGTTTGGAACATTTTTCTTTTTTGCTATTGTTATTTGCTTGTTTTCCTTGTTCTAACAGTAAAGAGGTATTTGCCTAAATCCCATCTGGGTAAGAAAGAGCAGGAGAGCCAGTGTTCCATCCTATAAAGTCCTTGCCTAAGGAGCATCTATAGTAAAAACAAATCCAACTTTGAGAAAATAAAACTTCCCTGTCTACCCTTTCAAAAGCTTGAGTACTACCTGATTGTCAGCAAAGAGAAAAGAGTTTTCAAATAGATTTAAGTGACAACCACAGTAATTAAAGTTGCCAACATCTGTTGAACAATAGTAGGCAAAAAAAAATCACTTATTTTGAAAGGGAAACAACAGCCTAATCATGTGATTTCATACATGGAGGCCTACATAAGAGATCAGATGATAACTATTGGAGAGAAGTCTCAGTTCTGTCATGGGGGCTAATTTTGTCTTGAAAACTTTCTAGATTTAATGGCAAGTGAGGTTTCATTTTTTTTTCTTTTTAACTGCTGAGGATGATGTGTTAGAATAAGTGATTTTTCTTTTAAGGAGCTCCAAGTTAAAGATGTTTCCAGGTGATATTTTTGTTAATGAGGTTGAATTGGGCTCTCTCTGTATGGAGAGAAAGGAAGCTGTTCATGGGTAAAAAAGGAACTTAGAGAAGAGATGGGGACTAAGGGCCAGGAGGGGATGCAGTTGAGAGAGCAAGACAAGGGGATAGGAGGGTAGAGCGGAGACCATGGAAAATAGCCACTGAAGGGGAGATGGAAAGACATACTGAGAGAGAAGACGAAAGAAGTGCATTGAGGAAGAGACAGATGCAGGTGGAGAAAGTAAAGACAAGCTCCAGCACTTTGCTCAAGAGGCGAGGGCTGTAAGGGGCAGTGAAGGGTGGTGTGTACGCGTGTCTACTTTGAAAGAAGGGAGGGCACTTGTCCATAAAGTGGTGATTAAGGTATCTGGTCCCACAAGGCTCAGAGAACAGTTGAGTCCTGGACCCAATGGCTTGAGAAACACTCTGGATGCCTAAGCATGTATGCCCAAAACCCTGAAAGGAGGGAGAAATGGAGGAGAAGGGGTTGCAGCATCACCATACCCCATGGGGCATGCATTCTCACTGTCCTTGTCTCTATCTGGTGAGTGTATGTACCTCTTGCAAAGTTTTAAAATATAGAAGTGAATATACATTATAAGTCTACCCACAGAACAATGCCATCAACAGGCTCACATTGCTATGGTGGGAAAGGAATATCCTTTTTTATCTGTAAACGTTGACTCAGTTTCCTAGTGGTACATGTGAGACTTGCTTTGGAAGATTGAGATCATTTCCCCTCTCACGTGGTTGCCTTGCCGTATGGAACACTCAGTTTGGCTTTGTTCTGCTGCTTCATGGTGGTCTTTATAGATGACAGTGGGGTCATCTTCCAGCCAAGAGTGAGGCCCAGTTCCCAGTTATGCAGAGATATGTTCCTTTAGGCATCTTTACAGAAACAATAATGCAATCTGTCTGAAAGAGAGATGGGACTTTGGGGAATTCTAGGTTAGTGTTAGTCTTACCTGCCTGTAGTAACAACACCCTTCGTATAACTTTTTAGTTTACCACCAATAATGACATTCATTTATCCCTGAATAAAGTGCTTAGCTAAGACACTGCCTAGCCTATAGTAAATACTCGAATGTTCTTGTTATCATTGCATTTACCACTATACTGACATTTCTACATGTACCACTACCATTTACTGTTTACACTACATTTCTACTGTATTACCTCTGGGGCCACTTGACCTACCCACCCATGCATCCGTCCATTCATCCCTCAACCCATCCTACATCTTTCTGCATGCTTTCAAATCTTTTTGAACATCCTTCTTTTGCTTTTCTTCTCTCTTTCCTCTCCTGCACACGTGTAACTTCTGGTACTGGAAATACGCTTTGCTCATTCATTATTGCGATTTCTTTGTATTTTTTTTCCTTTGCTTCCTACAAAGAGGAAATACTTCCCTTTCTTTTCTGTAATTTGAATGACATTTGATCTGGGCCGTGGAAGTAACTGAGAAGACAAATAGATCTTGCTTCCTTCTCACCTGAGACCTGCAGTGCCATGCATGATTCAACCTGACTCCTTTCCACCCAGAGTAAGACTCCTCTCTCTTTCTTTCTGAATCACTCAACCCTATCCTCATGGTTTCACTGAGTGTTTCAAGTTCATTCTGGTTCAAAGTAACACATCTTTCTATTTATACATGCACTTGTTGCTATTTATTTATAATATTCCTTTGCCTTAAATATTTCTTCCAATTCTTTCACCCACGACACACCACACCATTATAATTTTTCAAAGGAAGCTGTATTTTTATCACCATTATTGCATTACATTTCTATTACCTACTTCTGTAAATATTTATTGACTACCTGCCTAGGCCCCTAGAGCACAGGATGCATCTCTTATATGTCACTAGCATGGTACCTGGGATATAATATGTGTTTGAAGAAACTATTTAAGAAATTAATTATTTGGGACCAGCAGGTGGCATTAAGGAACCCAACTCCCACATGGCCAACCATGGTTCCAGTTCCAGTTCCTGGTAGCTTGAAACTCATGCCTGGTATGTATGTGTGCATGCCCAAAATCCTGAGCGGAGAAAGGAGGAAAAGGGATTTGGGCATGGCCAACCCCTTTGGGGGATGATTTCTCACTTTCCCTATTTCTGTCTGTCTCTCTCCAATGAGTGCATACATCCTATGACAAAAAGCTTAAAAAAAATATCTAATTAATGTGCTTCTAGTACCAACCAATATCTAATCTTGAGTATGCCTGTGAAGTCATTGCTTATTGCTCAAAGTACATTTTATCAAACAGAATAAACTTAGTATAAAAAAGTTCTGTATTGAATACTTTGATTGTGGTCTCAGATTGAATATGGTCTCAGATTTAATATTTATAAATATTTTCTTTAATCTCTAGGTGTTCATTTTCCTCATTAATACTTTACCAATGTTAAATACCATTGACTTCCCACTAGTGCTGCTGACTCAATCATTTTTGTTTTGAGAAGTTTTTGCTATAGGGTGTGCGCACTTGCCAGAAAGACAGAGACAGAAAGCAAGAAATAACCTCCCTGATAGGGGGGATGGCCACACCGCAATCCCTTCTCCTCCATTGTCCTCTCAGGATTTTGGGCACAAACACACACATGTGCCTAGTGTGAGTTTAAGCCACCAGGTCTGGGACTTGAACCATGGTGGATTACATGGGAATCCAGCAATGTAGCCATTACGTCAACTGTTGGTCCCCACTTTTTTTTAAGAGAGATTTTTGTTATAAGACACGCTTGCTTTCCAGAGAGTCACAGAGAGAGAGAGAAACAGAAAGTGAGAAGGCATCCCCCAAGGGGATGGCCATGCCACAAATCCCTTCTCCTCCACTTTCCTGTACGGATCTTGGACATACACACATATGCACCAGCATGAATTTTAAGATGCTGGGCCCAGGACTCAAACTGAGTCCAGCAATATTACCATCCCTCATGGCTTGGAAAATGTGCCGATCACACATGCTTACATGATCAAAATTCTAAGAGAAATGGAAGAGAAAAGATTGTGGCACAACCATGCTCCATTGTAAGAAGGTGCTATATCCTTTTCCTTCTCTCTCGGGTCAGGGTCCCTACCCCTAACAATTCAAAGTAAATAAATACTTAATGGGAAAAAATGTACCTGTAGCTATTTAAGGTTATGTGTGTTGTTATCTGCTGGTCCTGACTTCCCACTGCTTCTTACCAGAAAGAGAGAGGGAGGAAAGAAGGAAGGTAGTATTAGGAATATTTTCCCTCGATTTTAATGTAATTTAAGGATGCAGAATTCAATTTGGATCCACAAGGGAAATTCCATCTAAACTTCCAAATTGCAGGTATGTGTTATTAATAAATACATATAGTTGTGACTTTTAGTATTACCTAAGGGCAAAATTGTCTTTCCACATTTACCTTAAAAAAAAAAAATTGCTATTCCCTTGCAGAACAATATTACTACAATAGAGAGGCAGTTGGACCTCTTGATTTTTCACATTAAGCTTTGCACTTTAATCTCTAGTGAAGTTTCTTTAAAAATAAAGATTACTAAGCTTTATTACTGAAATTCTGGTTGATGCAGTCTAAAAGTATGCCATAGTATTTGTATTTTTAAAAGAAATTATTTATTTTATCTCATCATCATTATTTTTAATTTGACCAGAGAAAGAAAGGGAAAGTGAGAAAGCAAGCTAACATGTCTAGGACTAGAACCATGGTCAGCCATGTAGGGGTCCAGTGTCTTAACCACCACCCAACATTTGTATTTTTTTTAAATGATTATTTATTTAACTTTATTTATTTATTTATTTTAATTTTTGTCAGAGAGAGAGACATAGAAAGAGAGAGAGAGAGTGAGAAAGCAAGCCACTGGGTCTAGGACTTGAACCGTGCTTGGCCATATGGGATTGTCCAGTATCTTAATCACCACACCACCTGCTGGTTCCCCTAGTATTTGTATTTTTAACAAATCACTCAGGTGACCCTGACTTGTAACCAATACCAACATTGTACTCATCTCATTTCAAAAGCAACTACTTGGCCAGCTGGTGGCACAGTTGTTAAGGCCTCTGGATCCTATGTGTCCTACTGCACAGTTCAACTCCTGGACTGAGTAGCTTGAGAAACATGCCAGGCACATGTGGGCATGTGGACTTATCTTGGAAGGAGAAAGAGATGAAAGAGAAGAGATCGTGGCATGGCATGACAATCCCGCATGGAGGGTGGGGTGCTTTCTTTCTCTTTCTCTCTCTTCTCTCCTCTGTCTCCAGCCAGCACATGCACTCTCTGGCCAAATTTGTAAAACAGTAATTTATTGTACAGCTACTTTGTGTTAGACACTATTCTAAACAATATATAGGTGTGGTATAACTCCTAAAAGAAACCTTTGAAAATAGAAGTGATATATACTCCATTATGTAGATGAGGAAAACAAGACTTTGGGAAGTTGTGATTTGAGTCAGAGCTCCTAACAACCAAGTTCCAAAGACAAGTCTTGTATGTAGGTCTCTCTAATGCTGAAACCCCTGTTTTTTCTATCATACTACAGAATGCCCCACTGTGGTTTATCTAAGCGCTAGAGTGAACCAAGATTAGCCCATGAAAGGATGTATTACGCATGGCTAACTTCCTGAGAATAACAGACGAGAAGGCATTTTCTAATTCACTGTTGAGACTTTTGTGTCCTATACCACTTGATTAAAAGAAGTTTGACATTCTGTGTACCCCAATTATGTGGTCTAGTTCAGAAGCCTTTGAAAAAAGGTTTGATGTAACAGAAAATATTGATTTGTGATGTCCTCAAACCATTTCCAACCCCTCATGGCTGGATCGTCTCCCAGATAGTATTTTTGCTTTTCTGCAACTTAGTGGCATCTGGGTGACTGAGTGTTGGTCCACGAGATGAGAGCAACAGTGGGGGCTTTTGCACCTTGACCCAAATTCATGCCTTACAGGTAGAGGTGACGCCTGGAGATGCCTTCATCTTTGAGTTAATAAGCCAACCTGGTAAAGACAGCAGAGTGGAAATTCAGAATGCACCTGGGTCTCTGATGATTGTTGAGCCTCAGTGCCACCCTTAGACTTGTTTCATGTTGAATGCTGTTAGGGGCCAGCTGTAGCTACAGGTTAAGGGAGCTGAACCCCTTAGGGTCAACCACTGTCCTTCCTGTCCCTCATGGCTTGGAAAATGTGCCGATCACACGTGCTTGCATGATCAAAATTCTAAGAGAAATGGAAGAGAAAAGATCGTGGCACAACCATGCCCCATTGTAAGAAGGTGCTATATCCTTTTCCTTCTCTGTCGGGTCAGGGTCCCTACCCTTAACAAGTCAAAGTAAATAAATACTTAATGGGAAAAAATGTACCTGTAGCTATTTAAGGTTATGTGTGTCGTTAAATCTATTACTATTACTTAAACGCATTCCTCTCTGATGTGACTTCTGCTACATAGAGCAAGCTGCACTGTAAACCTCTGACGGGTTAAGTTTATTATTTATGACTACTTTGCCTAGAATTGAGTTTTGCTGATGGTAGAAACACTGGTAGGTCTTTGTGAGGATGAGCCCATGTGGTGTGTGTTGTGATGTTTCAGGACATCTACCCTGTGCTTTATGAAGCCTGCTAGTCTCTTTGCAGGTGTTCTTCTTTCCAAACATAAATTAAAGTTCTCTGAGAGTGAGCTTTGATAAAGAACCTAAAATAAAAGCAGAGCCCAGGCCCCTCTTATATTTATAACCTGGCCTGTGTTAAGGATGTTAGCTGGGTGACATTAGTATTAATCATAAGCTACTTTCTGCCACAAATGGCATCATTAAAGCATTCGAGCCAAGGCCGTGAAGCCACTAGAGGAACATTCGGATGACAGATTCTTTCCTAAACTTCGCTACTTTGCTGCCACTTGCACCAGGAGAGAGGCAGGCTCCCAAGGTGCCCATTCTAAGTAGGACAGCTAGAGTGGAAACTGTTCCATCCATCACTCACCAAGCAGATCCCTCCAGCCGAGCCTCACTGTGAGTTGCTTTACCCCACCATCCGCTCTCACCAGCCCTTGAAGCCACTTGACCCATGATGAGCAAGGCTGCAGTGCCAGTCGTTGAGAAGGTGCAGCCTGATTTGTTTTCTGACCAGAGTGTGCAGCCACCCACCAACTCGCTGCTCTGCTTGCCCTGCTCTGAGAGGTTGGGACTCACAATTTCCAGAATGAAGCCAGGGGAATGGAATAGAAAGGATGATATGTACACTCTCACTGAGGTGATTTAAGTGTACATAAATATAACTTTGGTGTATCTGATGAATCACATTCATGATTCCATAGATATTTATGAATTTTACATATATGTGTATGTGTTCGTTTCCCTTTTACATGTTTATGTTGGGTTGTCAGAAAAGTCATGACATATTTTTGCATTAAAAAAATACCAATAGAAGGGAACCATCAGTTAGTGTAATGGCTATGTCGCTGGACTCCCACGTAGTCGACCGCAGTTCGTGTCCCGGACCCGGTGGCTTAAAACTCACGCTGGGAGCGTGTGCGTGCGTGCCCAAGATCCTGAGAGGAGAATGGAGGAGAAGGGATTGTGGCATGGCCATCCCCCTGGGGGGTGATTTCTCGCTTTCTGTCTCTATGTCTCTCTCTGTCTGGCGAGCGCACGCGCCCTACAGTGAAAATCTCTCCAAAAATAAAAAAAAAATACCAAAAGAAAACTGGGGCTTGCAGGTGGCTTGGTGGTTACAGTGCTAGAGTCCCACATGGCTGATCACGGTTTGAGTCCTGGACCTGGCAGCTTGCTTTCTCACTCCACTCCCCCTTTCTCTCTCTCTCTTCCTGTCTCACTCTAGTCACATTAAAAATAATAATAAAAGTAAAATTAATAAAATTAAATAATTATTAAAAAAGAAAAACATACAAAAAAAGTGTCATATTTTTTCCAAAAGTCCAGTATATCTATGAGTATACATGTATAAGAGTGCAGTGTGTGTATATGTGTGCATATTGCATTGGGTGTATATGTGTGTATAGTACATTATGTGTATATGTGTGTGTGTCAACACATACACACACATATATACATTTCCTTTTAAAATATATTTGAATAAACAGTGCTTTTTTTTTTAGAGAAATGCATTAATTGACATTCATATAAATGGCATATTGGCTTAGCACAAATTTTAAAGGAGCTAAATGCCTAGTGTCTGAGAAACACTCAATAGTACCATTTGCTAAACTCAAAGAACACCCCTGGGATGAAGAAATACGATTATACCCCACAGAAGATAATGGTGATCTTACCTAATCAGAGGTTGAGACATGGAGTATCCACTTCAGGTAGAATGAATCTTTCCTAAATGAACTCAAAAGGTCTCGTCAAAATACACTTCACAGTCAGCTTGTCAAATACATAGTGAATTTCTACCGTCTGTAAGGCTTCATCTTAATCCTGTTAGAGCTACAAAAATGTCTAAGATACACTTGATGTTTTCAGCGATTGTATAATGGTGTAAGGAGGAGTCTCACGAGAACTTCCGAAGTAACTTTCCTGTCTCCCTTGAAAGAACACCCAGGTTATGCTGGTTTATGAAGACTGTGAGCTTTCTCCACCCTTGACTCCTAACCCTCTGCCAGGGTACCCCAGGCATGCTGGCTTTTTTTACTTTTCCTGTGGAATTCCATGCTTGTTCTCACTTTGAAACCTGAAGTCAAGATGGTCTTGCAACTTGGAACTTTGTTTCCAGATAGCTGATATCTCCCACCTTACTTAAAGATCACTTCCTCAGAGATGCTGCTCTTGAACATCTCATAGGAAGATTCTCCTTCTACTCTCCGCTCTTGTAAAATTTTACTAACTTGTTTTGTTGATATTTTTAACTCTTATCAATATCTGAAAAATCATCTTATATCTTCATTTGATTATTACTCATCTCTCTCAGCCATAACTGCACGAGATCAGGACCAAAGTGTTGTTGTAGTTGTTTTAATTAAAACTGCCTACTGGGGACCAGCAGATGGCATAATGGTTATGTTGCTGGACTCCCATGTAGTCAGCTGCAGTCCAGGACCTGGACCTGGCAGCTTAAAACTCACGCTGGATGTGTGTCTTTGTGTGTCCAAGACCCAAAGACAAGAATGGAGGAGAAGGGATTGTGGTATGGCCATCCACCCTGGGAGGTGATTTCTCACTTTCTGTCTCTCTCTGGTGAGAGCACGTACCTTATAGGAAAATCTCTCTTAAACAAAAACAGACAAAACACAAGAAGCTGCCTACTGTACTCAAGTTCTGAAAATAAGGCCTGGCGCATATTGGATACTCAGTAAGCACTTTTGAGTGTATTAGTACAGAGCAGGTATGATTCAGAGCCAACCTGTAACTACCTCATAGAGTGGAGTGAGTATGTCTGATGGGGTGGTCAGAAGAGCCTCATGACGGGAAGAAACTGAGCAGAATTTTGACAGGCCAAGTTGAGAGAAAAGGGAATTTCTTAAAGAGAAAGAAATGATCAAAAACTCAGATGAAAGAATCAGACAAATTAGGGAATATTTGAAAATGCAGCAAAAGCAGGAACTCCAAGAGGAAAAACCAGTTCCGTTATTGTGTTAAGAGATAAAATATCTCCCTCTACAGGCATAATCCATTTCTATCCTGCAGTTATCGGAGCAGTGCCTATGAGACAGTGCATAGAGTCATCAGGAACACAAACACCCTGCAGCGGGAATCGTACATACACTGGCCTCAGTGTTCCACATCTTTGCAGGTGCTTTTGGGATGTACTGTGTCAGAGAATGAGGTCCCTTGTCTTGTAGTCCTGTCTCATGCTTCATCACCATTGTACAAACTAGGAGTCTTGGGTCTCCCTTTTTCTCCTTGTGGAAAAAGTTTAGCTGTAGCTGTCGAAACACTCCACCAGCCATGGGATTTGGGAGTTAAGGAAGATTCAAGAAATTAAAATATCAAGAGTTAAAAATCTTTTTTTATTTTATTATTATTTTTTTAATTTTCTGATACAAAGCACATGCCCAGGCCAGAGAGAGAGAAAAGAGAGGGAAAATGAAAAATCGCCCCCACGGGCATGGCCATGCCATAATCCTTTCTCCACTTGGGATTTGTGGCACATATGCACATGCCCTGCCATGTTGTTTGTTCTTTAGAAAGAATTTTGCTGTAGGGCTCATGTACTCACCAGAGAGCCAGGGACAGAGAAAGTGAGAGATCACTCTCCCAGGGGGAAGGCTATGTCACAATCCCTTTTCCTTGATTCTCTAGTCAGGATTTGGGCATGTATACACCCAGTGAGTTTCAAGCCTCCAAGTGCATGACTTGAACCATGGTCGGCCATGTGAGACTTCAGTGGCTTAACCACTACACCACTTGTTGGCCCCACTCAGGTATGTTTGACAAGCCTCTGGGTCTAGGACTCCAATTATACAGTTGGCCATGTGGGATGGAGTGCCTTAACTACTCCGCCACCTGCTGGCCTATGAAAAAAGTTCCCACTGATTAGTATACCCAACCTGAAGTCATCCCATTGAAGTGTCTGGAACAGGCTGCTAAAACTTAAAGGAGGAGGGGTGACCAACTGTTGATGTAGTGATTACATCATTGGACTGATTGACTGTGGTTCGAGTCCTGGACCTGTTGGCTTGAAACTCAAGCCCACGCCCAACACATGAGGAGACAGGATTATGGCATGGCCATCTCCCCTGAAGGGTGATTTCTCATGTTCTCTCTCACTGTCTCTGTCTCTCTCTCTCCCCCAGCAAGCACAGCACCCTAAGGCAAAAGCCTTTACTAGTGACCCAGGCTTGGGTGAAAGCAAAGGTAATGATACGAAGTGGATAGTCTGTAGATCTATTTTTGAAGGTATGTCCAACAGTTATTTTTCTTGGTCCTGGAGTAGCTTTCACATCTCTGTGGCACTAAAGTAAACTAAGAATGCAACCACATCTCAGCAGGGTGTTATATGATGAAAAGGAAAGTTAACCCAGTGTCCCAGGAGTTACTGTTCCTGAATTTGTTGAATGTTTGGAGCTTACATAACTCCTGCCCACTCAGTATCTAAAAGGGTACTCCCAACAACTCAGTGTGGGAAGAGAAGATGGGAGGAAAACACAGTTTACCTAGTTCGTAGAGAAAGAAAATAGAGCTGGGGTTACGTACCTGGTTAACAGGCAGGGTTGGACTTAGACTGCAGTCGTCTGTTCCACAGAATCTCCTGGGAAAGAGGTGCTAACTTATGGTCAAAGATAATCCATCTTGAAACAGGAAATATATTATCCTCACTGTGCCAAGTAGTCTTTCTAAGTGACATAAGGCTTTGAAATCATGGAATTATGTCTGTGCGTAATTCCCCTGTGGGTCATATATTAATATACAGCAGAATCAACAACAACCAAGTTTGAGCAGATATTTTTTTCCTTCAGTTAAAGACACACTTTCCCCATATGTATCTTGTGCGTGCCGTAAGCTGCTAGAGCTGGTACTCAGGGAGTCCAAACAGCATTTTGTGACCCCATGGGGAACATTTGCCTTGTGAATTTTAGTCTCATCGATGCTTTGAAAAAAATGTCTACATCACTCAGGATCATTGGCCCACTGCTATTGAAAATACAATTTTTTTTTCTCTATTTGATACTAAGATTGTAAAAATAAAGGGAAGTCATTGTCTTCTGAACGAGCCTATTCCATTAGGGTTGACTGGTTTTGAAACCAATAAATTTTCTCCTTTTGATTTCATGATAGTAGAAATAAGTTTGGCCTGTAAGCTTGGCCTTGCACCAATTAAACATTGCATTTGTAATAACATTGTAGCGAGACTCCTCCAAGCTAGACAAATTCCGCCTGGCATCCCCACTCTGCCATATCATCTTTTCATGTATATCTCTTTCATAAAAAACACGGGCATTTAGAAAATAATGTTAAAATCCAGAAATCTTCAAACCTTACAGAGTTACATTATACAATAATTTGAAAGTGCATGGGGCCAGCAGGTGGTGTGGTGGTTAAGGCACTAAGACTTTCATGTGGCCTACCCCAGTTGAGTCTCAGACCAGGTGGCTCGCTTTCTCTCTTTCTCTCTCTCTCTCTCTCTCATAAGTGTACATGCCCTATAGCAAATTTAAAATACTAGTAGTAAATAAAATTGAATAATTCTTTTAAAAAAAAAGAAAGTAAAAATTGGATGAAAAGAATCCTATCTCCAATGCCTGCTAGGCAGAGATGCAGTCTCTTCAAAGAGACTCTCTTTGAAGAAAAACTCGGGGGAAATCTACGTTACTCTTTATGAATTACCAAAGCAACAGTGGGAGTTTGAAGTCTGCTTGGACGGTGTATAGACCCATAAGAGATGGGAAAAGGATCCAAAAGACAAAAGTCACATATTGAGCTAGCAGGTACCAGCTCTTTTGCTCCCATAATGAGCTTGCCACCCTTTCTCTTTAGCAGGTCTGAGTCCTGTGGGAAATAGAGCTCTATGGTACATACAGTAATTGGCTACAGGGTTTCAACTTTGATCGCAAAGGAGCATTGCATGTAAATGTACTATCTTATATCATGTTACTGGTCTCTGATAGAAACTATCGCGGTCCTATTGAGAATGCTCATTTTCACAAGGCACTGTCACAATTTCATGGTAGTGTTCTGGGGCTTCTGAGCCCTACCTCCCTCGGACTTTTAGAGTCCTCTTGGAAAAACAGTTGAGCAAAACTGCCAGGAAGATCATTGTGCCAGGTGTGGAGACTTGGCATTTTAAAGAAATTGGCTCAGGGCCAGCAGGTGACATAGTGGTTAAGGCACTGGACTCCCACATGGTCAATCAATTCCAGTTCTAGTCCTGGACCTGGCAGCTTGAAACTCCTGGTGGGTGAATGTGTGCATGCCCAAAATCCTGAGACGTGACCAAAGGAAAGGGATCATGGCATGGCTGTCCCCCTTGGGGGTGACTTCTCATTATCTCTCTCCATCATGAATGCATGTGCCTTATAGGGGAAAAAAAAGAAAGGAATAGCCCAAGATCAAACATGATTCTTCATGGCAGGCAGCCATATCTCTGTGGGAGGGGCGAGGAGTGAATTCAGTTTTATTGAACTTTATTTATTTTATATATTTATTTTAATTTGACCAGAGAGTGAAAGGCGGGGGTGGGGTGGGTGGGGAGTGAGATAGCAAGAACCCAGAATGGCATTATATTCATCTTCTTTTTCTTGTTCTTTCTGTTGTTGTTGAAATTTTTGCTTTAGTGTGCATGTGCCCATCTGAGAGGGAGAGACAGAAAGCAAGAAATCACTCCCCATGCCACAGTTCCTTTTCCACCATTCTCTTGGGATTTTGGGCATACACACCAGGCATGAGTTTCAGTTTCACTGGATCTGGGACTCAAACTGCAGTCAACTGTGTGGGGTCCAGTCATGTAACCATTACACCATCTGCTGGTTCCCATATTCATCTTAAAAAATGTCTTAGGGGTGAGCCCATCCATAAATATATCAATAGCACTTTCCATACACATCTGCTAATTGTGCTTCCATCATCTCTACTCCTGGTTTGAAGGAGGACATCCTTTAGAAGTGACAATCTCAGCTTTGGATCAGTCACCTACACCATTGTATTCTGCAGAAGGCAAAAATAAAATCTGTGATGGGTAAGAGAATTAGCAGCTGTCATCCCCTGACCAAGAACATTAAATGAAATCAGAGTTCTGTCGCAAAAGCCGGCTTCGTTTGTGTTTGCCCTGTGCTCAGATGGCTTAAGGATGGAACCGTGTGTTTTCATCAAGCCTCCAGTGAGCGGAGGCCAGTATTTATTGCTTCCCCTGCCTGTACCTGGCGCCAGCAGAGAGCAGACTGTACCTCCCACAGCTTTCTGTAGCGAAGAGTAAATGCAATCAAACACTACTGAAGGCTGGAAATAAAGAAAGATCACACAGACAGATGCTTCTCTTTGTTCTTCCACGTTGTTAATTTGGGCACAACTTGTGGCTTTGCGGAAGAGAGCTTTAGAGAAGAATCTCTAAAAGGATATAAATTTTTTTTTTTTTTTTTTTTTTTTTTTGCTATAGGGTGCATATGCTCGACAGAAAGACAGAGAGAGACAGAGAGAGACAGAAACTGAGAAATCATCCCCCAGGGGGGATAGCCACACCATAATTCATTCTCCTCTTGGGATCTTGGGCACGCATGCACACATGCCTGGTGTGAGTTTAAGCTGCCGGATCTGGGACTTGAACTGTGGTCGAATACATGGGAGTCCAGTGATATAGCCATTATGTTAACTGCTGTTCCCAAGATATAAAATATTTCTGAATGAAAACCCAAGTCCAGAGTCAGCTGATGTCATGGCTGAGACCATCTCCTCAGATTTAGGAACATCTTTAGAGATTACATTGAGTGAAAATTCCACAGAGACAATCTTAAATAACAAAAACAAAATAGCACTTAAAGATGATTATGTGCATGTACACACTTTGTGGAAATAATATTACAAATAACACTAAAATTAAGATTGTATTTTCTTTGTATAACAAACATTTGTTAGCACTTACTGTGAGTCGGACTGTGTGCTAGAATTACAAAGGCCTGTAAAATATTGTGTCTCTTACAAGAGCTTACAAACTAGTAGGGGCAGAGAAACTTTTGTAAGCAGTGGATGCCCCTGATTGCTTAGATCAGCAAAAACTACCTTAACCACAATTTTTTTTGTCTTTTTTAAACCATACCATTCAAAGAACACTTGCAAGGTACAAAAAATATATTTGATTTTTCATTTCAAATAAGCTCATGTGATTTAGAAAGTTAATACTTACTGAGTTTTGCCATTTAAAAAAATGATTTATCTTGATTTATTATTTATTTAATTTGATCAGAGAGGAGACAGAGTGAGAGGAGGAGAGAGAGAGGAAAGTGAGAAAGCAAGCCACCAGGTCTGAGACTTGAACCATGGTTGGTCATGTAGGAATCCAGCGCCTCTAACCACCACGCCACCTGGCAGCCCCAAGTTTTGCTATTATTTTACATTTGTTTAATTCTTGCCCAAACCTTTTAGATAGGATCTCATATGAAGAAAAATAAAATTGAGGTAAATAATGTATTTTTACCACAGGGTATGTGCACTTGACAGAGAGAGAGAGAGTGACACCTACTACTGGTGCATGATCACACCACAATCCTTTTTCCTTCATTTCTCCATCCCATCAGGATGTTAGGTATACATGCACAGGATTTAAAAACCTGGCATGTTTTTCAAACACCCAGGGCCAGGATTTGAACTGCAGTGAGCTGTATGAGATCTAGTTCCCAGTGAATTGTACTTATTCATTATACTATGGGGCCAGCCAGAAAATGAATAACTTCATTAAATTTTTATAACACTTTCAAAGAAGTGCCAGGATTCGAACTCTGTCTGAATCCAGAATCAGTACTCTGAACCACAATATATTGCCTTATTAAGAGAAGGCTTTTGGGCATGCCAGTGGCATGGTGGTTGAGGTGGCTGGCTCTCACGTGGTAGACTAGGTGGTTGGAATCCTGAACCTGGAGGCTTGAATATACATGTTGGGCACAGATCTGTAGGTGCCCAAAATCTCAAGAAGAGAATGGAGGAGTTGGGGTTATGATCTGGCCATCCCTCCTGGGAGATGCCTTCTCACTTTCCCTCTCTTTCTGTCTCTCTACAGTGAGTACATGTGCCCTATATAAATAAATAAGTACATAAATAAATAAAAAAGAAAGAAAAATTAAAGGGTATAAACCACAGAATACAAAGTTAAAGTTTGATCAATTGCACAGGCAGTTCATTTAAGAAAAGTAGATCATACCTGGTACCACGTTTTCCTAAAAATATTTATGATAGCCTAGCCTGTGGTACAGATGGTATCACTTACTGGGAGGCTGGAAGCCATAAGGGAGACCTGGATTTAGTCCCTAGGCCCACACGCATATGCCTGGATTGATTGCGTGTGCTTGCAATTTGAGCCAATTGTAAAGTTGGAGTAGGAGCACTGTGATGTATTGAAATCTTGTCAAAAATACCTGTTTTTCTTTCTCTCTCAACCCCTCACTCTCACAAAGAAAGGAAGAAGGTAAACACACAAATATTCATGACAATTGAATGCAATACACACAGCAGTCCTTTATTGTACCTTTTCACTTACATAGTCCCCAAATCAAGTCCCCCCTGAGTCTGTGTCCTACTCTCTCAGGAGGCCCTGGAATCCATTGTTTTCTTTTTTTAAAGAATTCTTTTATTTTGGGACCAGCAGTTAGCGTAACGGCTATGTCACTGGATTCCCATGTAGTCAACCATGGTTCGAGTCCTGGGCCCGGCAGCTTAAACTCAGGCCGAGCGTGTGTGTATGCATGCCCAGGATCCCGAGAGGAGAATGGAGGAGAAGGGATTGTGGCATGGCCGTCCCCTTGGGGGGGGGCTTTCTCGCTTTCTCTCTTTCTTTCCCTTTCTTTCTGGCGAGCGCACATGCCCTATAGCAAAAAACCTCTCCAAAAAAAGAATTCTTTTATTTTTATTTATTTATTTAAATCTCAGCAAAGAGGGACAGAGAGAGAGAGAAAGAGAAAGAAAGTGAGAAAGCAAGCCGCCAAATCTGGGACTCAACGTGCATTCAGCAACGTGGGAATCCAATGCCCTTATCCACCATGCTACTTGCTGGCCCCTGGAATCCATTGTTTTCTATAGCTGACATTCCAGCAACTCAAAGACTCAGAGCTGTTTCCTCCCACTCCCTTGCATGGTGATTTTTAATACAAACTATATATTTTATCCAGTCTGACTTAAATTACCTTTCTTAAGTGGTCCCCCACCCTGGTCAGCCCTCAAAACTTGCAACAAACATCAAAAGTGTTTAGGTCCTAGACCCTCTAATGGGTGAAAATCATGCTGTCTGCCTTCTGCTCATCCGTCTTCCCGAGTCCGTGCTAGACATCACCAATCCATCACAGGACTGTTTCCTGCAGGATCTGGCTTTGGAGTTCCCCTCAACAGTTTTGACCCTCAGCATGAGAAATAATACATTCAGTCTCATGGACTTGCTGAAGGCAGAATCTCTCCTCCTCAAGTCTATCTTCTCTGTGTATATCATCAAGTTCTATTCCACCCTGAAATTATCTGCATAATATTAAGTTCAAATAGACTCCTAATCTTCCCCTCAGAGGATCTGATTCTGAATTTGGACTGGGGCAAAGGAGTTCCTGTTCGTAATAAGTCCCATGTGATGCTGATACTGTTGGGTTGGCTATGCCTCTCTGAGAACCACCGATGTTAAATTCCTTGTGTTTTAGTTGGAATTAAGGGCCTGTGGCTGCTTTCATGGCAGCTGACCACCTAGGAGGGCTGTGCCTTTGAACAAGTTAATGACTGTCTGGGTGTTTTCAGTTCCTCATCTTTTAGATGTGGTGTACAAAAATCTTTCTCCTGGGACCAGCAGATGGCATAATGGCACTGTTGCTGGACTTCTATGTAGTCAACCGCGGTTCGAGTCTCAGACCTGGTGATTTAGTGGCTTAAACTCAAGCCAAGTGTGTGTACATGCATGCCCAAGATCTCGAGAGGAGGGTGGAAGAGACAGGATTGTGGCATGGCTATCCCTCCTGGGGAGGATTTCTCTCTTTCTCTCTGTCTCTCTCTGCTTTTCTGGCGAGCACATGCGCCCTATAGCAAAAACCTCTCAAAAAAAAAAAAAAAAGAAGGAAAGAAAAGAAAGAAAACTTCTTTCTTGAGGTACTTATAATGATCGATTGAATCCATCTATATTAAGTGCTTAAAAGAAGACAAGGCAGCTGGGACTAGGAGGTGTTGTAATGGTTATGTCCCTGGACTTCCAAGTAGTTGACTGTGGTTCAAGTCCCAGACTTGGTGGCTTAAAATTCATGACAGGCACATGTGTGTGTGCATGCCCAAAATCTTGAGAGGAGAATGGAGAAGGGACTGTGGTGTGGCCATCCCCTATGGGAGTGATTTCTCACTTTCTATCTTTCTCTGTCTTTCTGGTGAGCACACACTCCCTATAACAAAAATCTCTCTTAAAAAAAAAAGACATGGAAATTAATAGGGTCTCCCAAAAATGTTATCCAGTATTACTTATTCATTGTGGTTATTGACTCAATTCAGAACTTTGCGCATGGATGGCACCCAGAGGCTTAGTGAATTGGAATTTACCACCCAGACCTACAATAACATGTCTGATGTGTGGCCTCATTGAGCAGCAGCACACATGAAGATGTACAAGTTTAGAACTGGCCCCCTGGCCTCGTGGTTAAGGGCGCCTGATCCCGCATGGCTGAACACAGTTCGAATCCCAGCTCTCTGGCTTGAAAACAGGCCAAGTACATGTGTATATGTGCCCCAAATCCCAACAGGATGGATAAAAGGTGCTGAAGTAATTGAAGCACAACCTCATCCCAGCTGGGGTGCTTCCTCTCTTCTCTCTGTTTGTGTGTGTCTGTCTCTCTGGCAAGGGCATGTGCTATCATGATGATGAACTAAGATCAGCTCTGCTTTCAGATGACCCCCAGCTTTCGTTTCTGCAATTTAAAAATAAGAGATGTACAAGGTTATAGCTGTTCACAGCTGTTTGAGGAGGTCTTTTGCAGTTGACATATGTATTCACAGAGTATGGTACCAATTGTTTCAGGTTGTCAATTATCAAATTGATGCACAGAGACAAACTATTCAAGTTATTTAAGCTCAGAGAAAGAGTCAACACTCATCATAGGAAAAAGACTAAGCTTCTGAATAATTTCAGCATTGGTTCTTAAAGGTAGAACAAAACGCTCTTCAGAAATACTGAGAATGCTTTGAAATAGCCATCTACCTGACTGCCTTGTTTTATGACTGACATTTCTCCCGATGGTGATCGAAAACTGTCATTTGGGTTCCTTTGCGCTTTTCATCATTTCTTCTTGTGTTCTGTCATGCAGTTGTCGTGACATTCCTTCTGAGGCCCTCGTGAGCAGTTGCACGCAGGAGGTAAAAATGATAGACCCAGGAGATTGGTGCCCGTATGCAGAGGCTCCAGCTAAAGGGTTGGCTATTTATCTGAACCTAAAATCAGAACTCAGACCAGTAGATGTATTTCCTCTGACTTAAAAAGCTATTCGTATAAAAGATACACAGTTACCTACTTACCAAACCATATTTATCAAAAAGAAGAGAAATGCATAAGAAAGGGAGTGATGAAAAGCCAGAATGTGGGATTGGCGTGGAGAGAACCAGCCTACTATAGGCATGGTGTCTGCTGGGACCTGGATGGTGGTGCAGCAGTAAAGCATGGTGCCATGGGAGGCTGACCTACAGGGAAACGTCCAGGGCACACATCCCGAGACCTCCCTGAGTATGATCTGGAGCTGGCTGGAGCTGGGCGTGGGCTGCAGTATGGGACCCTGTTCAGGGTGCTATCTCTGTCTCCATTCCTCATGTCTCTGTTTCTTCCTCATGGAAGAAGGAATTAAGCTTAAAAGTAAAAGAAATGGCATTCAAATTTTTTTAAGAGAGATTTTTGCTATAAGTCACATGTGCTCAGAGAGGCAGAGAGAGAGAGAGACAGAGAAACAGAAAGTGAGAAATCACACCCTAGGGGATAGCCAAACCATGATCCCTTCTCCTCCAGTCTCCTCTTGAGATTTTGGACGCACATGCATATGTACCTGGCATGCGTTTCAAGCTGCCGGGTCTGGGAATTGAACCACAGTCGGCCATGTGGGAGTCCAGCAATGTAACTATTACTCCATCTGCTGGTCCCATTGAGATTTTTTTACTGTAAATATCCAGACCTGAGGGCCAGCAAATGGTGTGGTGGTTAGGGGTGCTAGACTCCCACATGGCAGACCATGGTTCAAGTCCCAGACCTGGTGGCTGGCTTTTTTGCTTTCCTTCTCTTCTCTCTCTTTCTCTGACTCTGTCCCGCACTAGACAAATTAAAATAAATAAATAAATGAATAGGAAAGAAAGAAAGGAAGACAGACAGACAGACAGAAAGAAAGAAAGCTTTAAAAAATAATATATATATCCAGGCCTGAAATTTAACCTGAACTCATATTAGGTAGGATTATCTACAAAGTAATAGTAATGATTTCTATTTGTAAATCATAGTCTCTGTCTAAGGTATTAATAATTACTTTGACTTTCCGATGACTGGCAGAACGTTTCCGCAGTCTCTTTTAGGTATAGTGTGTAACATAGTAAGTGCCTGAATAAATGTCAGTTATATGATTAGAGAATATGGCTTGTCACTTTAATGGATGAAGATCAACTCTGCTTTCGGATGGCCCCCATTTTTCATTTCTGTAGCTCTTGCATGAGGTTGAGACCTGCAGGGAGCTGAGATGTGATGTGCTCATGCAGAGAATCTCAAAAAGTAAATTACCATATTAAATTTCCAAGAGATGTTTTTAAGCCTTAAAAATGTCAATGTAGGGGCCAATAGGTAGTATAGCAGTTCAGGCACTGAACTCCCACCTGGTGGACCACAGTTTGAGTCCCAGACCTGGCAGCTTCAGACTCAAGTTGGACCCATGTGCATGCATGCTCAAAATCCAAACCAATTAAGTTTTCTTCATAACATGCATTTTCCATGAACTTTTTGATGATCCCTCAAGGTAACATAAGATATGGATGAAGCTTTCAAGCCAAGTGTAGAGACATTGTGATGGACAACATCGGTAGAGGGGCATAATTACAAACTGTGACTCAAACTATCTTCCTCTTCCTCAATTACATTGATCACAAATTGCTGAAACTACAAATTACTAGTCAGTCACTAGCTATTTATGTATCTACCTAGAGACATGTGACGGAGTCCTATTGTGTTTTGTTTGAACTAGGTGATGACTATAATCAAGAATGAAAACGTGTATAATAAGGTTTCATTATCCATGCTCTGTGTGCCTAAGTAATTTCAGTACTGTAAGAATTGATCTTAGGTTTAATCTTTCTCTCCCCTATTCTCCTCCTGGGATTATGAACACACATGCACATCCATGTGGCATGATTTTCAAGTCACCAGGTTGAGGACTCAAACCACGGTTCTTCATTTAGTACCTTGACCACCATGCCACCTGCTGGCCCCCTGACCTCAGATTTTAACAGTGTGTTGAATGTGGTCTGCATCATTACTCTATTATGTTGGAGCCAGACCTGGAGTAATTGTGATAGCCCACCTCTGTTTTCTGAATATTGGGTTTTGTGAATTTCAAGAATTATCAGAAGGCCTCCATGTTTTTAGTCTGTGTAGAAGTACATAGCATAACTTCTTTAGATCTAAACAACAGTAGAAACTTCCTGAAATTCTGAGGAAATTTGTGAATTTAATTGAGACTTCTAGTTTAATTTCTGCAGTGAATCATCCATCTCCTTGTGAAGAGAGACATTTCTGGTGGGGATAGTTCTAAGACAACAGTTACTCCCAGGAATTGATGGATATAACTCCAGTGGTGTGAAAGAAGAGAGAGAACCATATTTTTGTTTAGTTCACTCTGGAAATGAGGAATTATAAGATTCATAGTTTCTAGACTAACTAGGTGGCATAGTAGTAAAGGCAGTTGCACCTTACATGGCTGACTATATAGTTCAAGTCCTAGAACAGGCATTTAAAAAACTTGGGCACTTGTGTGTGCATACCCAAAAATTCTGAGAGGAGAAGGGATTGTAGCATAATTCTTCCCTGGAGTGTGTGGGAGGGCGGATTCTCACTTTTCCCCTTCTCTCTCTCTGTCTCTCTCCAGCGACCTCATGTGCCCTATAGCAAGACAAAATAAACAAATTCATAGTTTCTTTGATTTCCCTAATCTTGCACTATTATTATTTTTTTTACAAGTTTTTGCCACAGGGTGTGTGCACTCACTGGAGAGAGAGAGACAGTGAGAGAGAAAGCCCTCCTGAGGGGTGACTTCATGCCAATGTCACTTTCCAACCACTGGACCCAGGACTTGACCCATGGCCAACCATGTGGGAGTGCAATGCCTTAATTATTACACCACGTGCTGACCTCTCTTACACTATTACTAAATGAAAAATAAGAGTCCCCCTAGTGAATATCAGTTCAGAGCACAGAATATATTTTCTTTAAAAAGAAAAAAAAAATCTTTCCCAACCCTTCATGATTTCACCACTTAGATTGTGCCCGTAATATTGGCTCTGATGCTGTCTAGTAAGAAGAGAGTTCTGGAAGAGGCCTGGCATCTGAAAGACCTTGCGGCTAAAACACAAGTATGTAACCTGCATGGCAGCTGCTCACCGCTGAGTTGGGACTTTTTACTTGAGTTGAGCACCAAGTGAAATCTTATGGAAAAGAAATCAGATGAATAAAATGGTAACACAAATGGGTTATGGCTGAAAAACACTGTAGTTAAAACAAACGGAACATCCACTAGGGAAAAAAATGCCCTTATGGAACTTTTAGTGAGTGAAGCTTCCCCAAGTTCTCAATCAATCCAGGTCACTTAGCAAAATCAATTGCATGTCATCACCATTCCAAAGAGGCCTTCAAGTACATTTAGAAGGATGACTTTGAAATTGAAATGGAGTGTTGTTGCTACAGTGCTATCATAACTCGTCTAAGGATATTTTGAGGTTGCTCTTTACAATGCCTTAGAGTTTAAGATGAAGTTTCTAGACCTCTGTTACACCTCCCACTTCTTGTGTAAATAGAGACTTTGAGTATTCTGTAAAGATGTGATCGGTCCCATGGAATCTACTTTCTGAATTCTTGGATCACCTATAACATTTGCAGATAATGCCAATAAGATTTGCTGTGGTGTGAGCCATTTTAACTAGGATATTTTTTTTTTCAGTGCTGCAAATTTAATTTGGGGTAAATTGGCCAGTGGTAGTGGGGCAGCAGTAACGTAGTGCTCCTCAATGGTGGAGCCATGTTGGAAGGTCCTGTGTTCACATCTCAAGGTCTCTCTGTGTGCGCTGGGTCTGTGCACCTGCCTGTGCTCCTGACTGCCTGGATCAGGGGTAGAACATAGATTTTTTCTCTCTCATGAGAGAAATAAATAAATAGATTTCAGAAACACTGGATTTAAAGTAAATTTTCCTATCCTAGTGCTCATTTGGATTGTCAGGCCATGAGTTTTTAAGTAAATATGACAGCCATGGAATAATTTTGCCATCCTTCCTTGAAGACCTACAGTACCCTACTATAACAATCAATCATTTCATTATAAGGCTTCCTCAAGTCTATCTTTGGCAACATGTTAACCAAACATAGAGGAGGATGTTTTCTAGAAATCCATTGTCTTTTACTGTTTTCCCCATTTGCACCATTTCTGTCTCCTTCCCACTCTTTTCAGACATCCTCCATGAGGAATATTCATTTGAGTTCTGTACATCTCTTCTCTGCACTCGTAATTGGTTATAAAATCCTCAGGGTACATCCTTGACATTGTCCCCTGGACTTGGTCTTCTCCATTCCCTCCTCTTCAGTTCTGAGCTTTGAGCTAATAGTTACTGCAGCCAAGCCTTGTGCTAAGTGCTTCCCATACAAACTTCCATGTAATTCTTAAAATAGCCTTGGAAGGCCATTACTCTTACTTTACTGAAGAGAGAACTGAGAAAGTGATTGATCAAGTAACTTGTCCCAAGGTCACCCTGGTGGTAAAGTTTGTTTGACGCTGAGTGATGACAATAATCTAAGTAGCCTCTTGGGCTTCTTGTCTTCAGCCCTCTAGCATAAAATGCAGGCAATCATTCTTCCAAGCGGTGGCTTCTATCAGCCTGGTTCAGCTCTTCCTTTGAATTATTATTTTTTTTTTGAGTTACATTTACAACTTAATTTGCCATTCTTGGTCATATTTCCATGGACCCCATTTTATATCTGGGACTCAGTTCCCCATTGTTGGCAAACACAGATCCTTTCTCCAGCTTAGTGTCTCCTCACTGGCCTGTGCCAGCTGCACTAGGACCCTCATTTTTGCTCTCATCTCTAATTCTCCCCCCACCCCCACCCCTTTTCTTGCCTTTGCTCATCTACATCATCAGGAACATCCCTTCTATATTTCCCTTGGATCCTAGTTAAATGCTCATACCATCCCAGAGTATTCGCTATTCATTTCGTCTCTGTATTTGCTAGTGTAATATTGCCTTCTCTGGTAAATAGACTCCCAAATGTAGAAAGTTACAAGTATAACAGAAGTATATGGCCACAATTAGCAGGTGGCATTTGTCCACACAGACTCTTCTGATCAGAAGGCTCCTCCATTGTTTTAAAGAGTCATCCTCAGTTCAGTGACATCAGCAGCACCTGTGGACTTACTAGAGATGGACATTATTTGCATCATAGACTGAATCAGAAACTACAGTGAGGGCCAGCAGGTGGCACGGTGATTAAGGTACTCAATCCCAGATGGCTGACTGCATGGTTCTAGTCCCAGACCTGGCAGCTTATAAAACACGCCAGGCACATGTGCATGCATGTCCAAAATCCCCAGAGAAGGGATTGTGGTATGGCTATTCTCCCAGGAGTGATTTCTCACTTTGTCTTTGTCCAGGTGAATGTATGTGCCCTATGGCAAAAATCTTTTTAAAAAATTACAAAAATTTTTAAATAAAGGAACTGTGGTGATAGGGCCTAGCAGTGTGTTTGCACAAACCCTCCAAGTGATTCTCATGTGCAGCAAGATTTATGAATCACTACCTTATGGCCTAATGATCATGTATATCTGGCCTATGGAAATTCAAAGAGGATGTGGACAAGGTACATATGTTTTCTCTCTTTTTTCTCTTTAAGAGATCTTTGCCTTAGGAGTTGTGCACTTACTGGAGAGAGAGAGACAGACAGACAGACAGACAGGGAGAAAGTGAGAAATCACCCCCTAGAGGGGATGGTCACGCTACAATCCCTTCTCCTCCATTCTCCTCCCAGGGTCTTGGGCACATACACTTGATGTGATTTTCCGGGCACTGGGTACAGGACTTGAAGCACTGTCAACCGTGTGGTGGTCCAGTGACATAACCTCTATGCCATCTGCTGGCCCTGATACATGTGCTTTTAAAAAGGATTATTCTGGAGGAGAAGCACATCACTTGCATCTTAATTTTGCTGATGAGGCCTGCCTAAATGGCCGTGCCTCACGGTAAGGGGGTATGAGATGTGATCCTTGGAGAATTCCTCTCAATAATACACTGATGAGCCTTGTGTGTTTAAGCAACTGTCTTCCACCCTTGATTTTTGTGAGGTCTTTAAGATGCAGCCTGACAGGCTCTTCCAGCCTGTTTCTGTGCTCTGTCAGCTTAGTTCTCACCTCGTACATTTTCATTCCTTTTCCTCCTCATTGTGGTTCGATGTTCTTCGTCATTTTACTTGGTTACAACTTGACATACATTTCTTTCTCTATTTATTAAGAGACTGGCCATGGCAAACTTTGAGTTCCAGGTTGCTGTAACATGTCAGCTTATTTTCTGTTCGCAGAAAGCAGCTCAGCTGACAGGCCTGTCGTGCAGACCTCGGGACAGAACGGCTGGCTGTCCCTCAAGCACAGTGTGAACATTTCTAATTCGGAATGTGTCTTCTCCACATGCTTTCCGCACTGCTCTTGAGTGGTGCTCAACTTCCAGATGGATCTACGGACAGGAAGGGAATTTATTTTCACTCACGGAGTCAAAGTAGATGGAACGCAGCATCCCTGTGTGTCTGACTCTGGTGCAGTTTGATCAGTCAGCCCAGTCCTTCAGGAGCAGTGGGAAGTGCAGGACCTGACCAAGTAATCACAGGGCCTGGTGTATTGGTTACGCCCCATTTTAAAGCAGTCACCTAATTTGCATGTAATGAGATTCAGATAGTTTTATGTTTGGTCAATCATATTTGTAACTCTCAAGGGTACAGATCAAATATCTATTTATAAACTGTCAGCTATGTTTTCTATATATATATAATATATTTTAGGATTGATGTGTTAGATTAAAGTTCTTCTTATGATGTTGTTATGTTCAAATGTTTGGTAAGCTTTTTGTTTTTTCCCCTAAGGGAGATTTTTGCCTTATGGTACATGTGTTCCCTGGAGAGAGAAAATGAAAAATCACCCCCCCACCACCACCAGGGGGATTGCCATGGCACAGGTCCTTCTCCTTCATTATCCTCTCAGGGTCTTGAGCACGCATGCACACACACCTGGCGTGAGTTTTTCAAGTCATCAAGGATGGGACTCGAACTGCAGTTGACCTTGTGGGGAGTCTAGTGCAGTAACCACTACACCACCTGCTGGCCTTCCTAAGCATCTTTAAGCCTCATTCCTGTGTCATCTCTTGTGTCACTGTTTGAATCATCTTGCAGTTTCCCAGGGCATAATTTCTTGACTTTCGCTTACATGGTTCAGAACACAGGCCTTGTTCAGCCCCCTGTCTAGCTATCACTAGAACTTGTATAAGTACCCAGTCACAAAACCGGAGAGCAACATTGTTTTGTATCATTTAAGGTTTTACTTGATCCTTTCTGGTGCTTTTTTACAATGGAACTTTGCACTTTATTGCTTTCTAAAATGACTTAGAAAAGGTTAGTCTTGAACTCACTAATATTTAGAACATGTAGGTCATACTACCAAGTGTAGTCCCAAACTATGTAGAACCTTTAGTTGACTTCTTTTTTTCCTCTTGTCATAGAATTTGATAATGCTCTCAAACCAGCAAATACTGAGGTTGCTTTAGGTTAGAGTCTTCTCTGATGGTGCTCTGGTAGTTCAATCAGATAATAACCAGCCATGTGAACAGCTTTATACAGTTAACATCATATGCAAATTCCCTGTTATGAAGCATACAAGACAATATATGAGAAATGATAAAATTTGAGAGATAATCTGAGATTGATGGGAGATAAGAATCACTGAAGACATAAGACCAAATTTATTTTATTTATTTATTTTTTTTTTTAGAGGTTTTTTGCAGTAGGGTACGTGCACTTGCCAGAAAGAGAGAGACAGAGAGACAGAAAGCAAGAAATAACCCCGCAGGGGGACAGCCATGCCGCAATCCCTTCTCTTCCATTCTTCTCTCTGGATCTTGGGCATGCATGCATACACACATGCCTGGCATGAGTTTAAGCCACCAGGTCTGGGACTTGAACCATGGTCAACTACATGGGAGTCCAGTGACATAGCCATTATGCCAACTGCTGGTCCCAACCTGCTTTATTCTTCTATCAACTCAGCCACAAGGGCCTATGTCTTCCTGTTTGTCATGAGGAGGCTGGGACCCTGAAATTGATATGCTTTATCCAGAGGTCCCAGCCAGTAAAGGATAAAGCTGGGACTTAAACCCAGGAAGGTCTTTCTGTAAAGCTCACGATGTTGACCTCTTGTTCCAGTGGAAAGGATGCCTTAATGCAAGCAGGTTTCATATTTCCAGCAGAGAAAGGTGAGGTTTTGAAACCTCCAGTTGCCTTTGGATTTCAGAGTAGATGGAAGACATCCTCTGTCCCAAAGACACCAGCGTACCAGGGACCTCACGCTGCACTTGCTCCACCTTCAGGCTCTTTTCTTCTAACATTTACTCGGTGGCTTTATTCTTAGAGGGGAAATACCAACTTATAAACTGACCCAACCCTCTCTATCATCTTAGAAAATAACATCTTCATATTCTTGCACCCTATCAAAGCTGTGATTCATGCCATCCACAAGCAAACAGAAGTAACAAGGATTTTTTTTCTCTTGTCCTAAAAGGGTATACAAGGAGATGCAATTTATGAAGCTTCGTGGTACTACTCTCTCAATTCTTTCCAGTTTACTACAAACAATTCCAAAAATACAACTCCCCCGATCATATTCTGCCTTTCTGACACTGTAACTCTCATTTCTTCTCTTTCCCCTTCAGTGGACGCACCTGAATTCTCAAACTTGCAGTCCCTGCAGACTTCCCCAGGTTGTTACAAAAATATTAAGACCATATTTAAAAGCCAGAGATTTGCCCTGCAATCTGAGTGGCTGGGGTATTTTAAAATGAAATCAGAATGCCTTACTGCCCTGTCTCTCTGGCTGGTGACAGAGCTGTTTCTTTCTGCAGGAGGGAACGGCCTTTTTGGTCAGAGCATGCATCACCCAGCTCACCCCTGTCCCTGTCCATCATTGCTCTTCTTTCTAAAGTGTATCTTTTAGAAAGGATCACCCCTATCAGGGTCTTGATGCTCTGATCCATCCCCAGTCTCAGCCAGCCTGAATGAGAGAGATCCCAGAACATGAACCCAGGGCTTGGACCATGCAGAGCTTGCTGCATTCCAGCTACTCTGCCAACCGGCTCCAGTCCCCCTGTCCTTTATGGGTTCTCTGATATTCAAACTGATAGCATTTGTACCCCCCCTTTTATTTTCCTAAAGAGAATATTTCTCTGTGTTCATGTCTTTATCTAAAGCAGGAAATGGAAAGATCAACAAAGAAGACAACAGGTAATAAGAAGCAATTACTTGTGACTGTGAAGTACTGGTTGCAACCCAAAAAGTTTATGCTCAGACTGAAGAGCTAGACTCGAGTCACTTGCCTGGCCACTGTAGACATTCGGAATGATGACCTTGATCATAGATCAACACAATGTGCTCCCTTCTACTGTCTGCCTTCTCCTTCCCGGGTCTACTTCTCCTCCAAGCCATTTTAAGATTACACATAGCCAATAACCCTTCTCAGGATTGGAAATTAAGACTGGGTATTTAGGGATGCTCCATGAAGACCCAGAGGGAAGGAGCAAATCTATAAAAATTCCCAGAAATAAAATGGAGAAACTTATAACATGTAGGTGATTATAATTATGGAGTCTAAGTTAGGATAAGGCCAAGAAGGGCAGCTTCATCTTCCTTACCAGAAATCTGATTATTAGGGCCAGCACAGAGCAGTACATGGATTGAGTCCCAGAAGATCATCACCCAGAGCCATTCAGTTAGTAAGATTCATAAAAGTTGAAGGAATTTAATAATGTAAACCAGTTTTTCATGGACCACTCATGTTGAGATGCCCTAAGAATCCCCTGAGGACCAGCAGATGGCATAATGGTTATGTCGCTGGGCTCCCACGTAGTTGATGGCAGTTCAAGTCCCAGATTCAGTGGCTAAAAACTCACACTGAGCACGTGTGAATGCATGCCCCAAATCCTGAGAGGAAGGGATGGGATTACGGTGTGGCCATCCCCCTGGGCAGTGATTTCTTGCTTCCTGTCTCTCTGTCTCTGCAACAAGTGTACACGCCCTAGAGCAAAAGTCTCTAAAGAAAAAAAGAATCCCCTGGCCCAAACAAAAAGTTGGAAAAGTTATTTTATCATTTTTCTAGAAGAGTCACAATATATTTTTATATAATAAAGGCTCCGAGATGTCTCACAGTAAAGAAACCAATGTAACTTCATCCCAGTGCTTCCAAAATTTATCATATTATTAAACTGTACAAATAACAATTTTTAACTTCTTGTGGAATTAATGACCTCCCTAATTATTTTTGTGATAAACTTCTCTATGCAATACAGATTATTTTAAAGATGACTGTCCCTTTAAGACCTTTTTATTTGTGACTCTACTTGTTACCATCCTATATTGCGCATGTCTGTTATAAGCTTAACTTAGAAAATTTCCTTGGGACTATATATTTCTTGAAGTAATTGCATTTACCAGTATACAGTGTGTGTGTGTATAATGTTAAAGTTTTAAATCAAAGGGTCCCCTTTTATGAGACGTCCCCCAAAATCTATTCTTTATGCCCTTTGATGTCTTTCTCAAGGGAATACGATTTTCTGCTTTGATGTTCTCTTGTAACCTAGGTTCTTTGTTTTTGTTTTTAGAGAGAGATTTTTGCTATAAGGTGTGTGCACTCACTGAAGAGACAGAGAGAGAGAGAGACAGAGACAGAAAGCGAGAAATCACCCACAGGGAAGATGACCATCTCTTCTCTTCCATTCTCCTCTTGGGATCTTGGGTGTGCACGCACACGTGCCCAGAGTGAGTTTCAGCCACCAGGTCTGAGACTCAAACCTCTGTTGACTACGTGGGAGTCCAGTAACATAACCATGACACCATCTGCAGGTCCCCATAACCCAGGTACCGTAACTTGGCTTTTTATTAGAGTGAGTATAGCACATGGCATATGATAGCATGACGTGTTTGTGGACCCGTATTGAACAAAGCATAAACTTCATGATAAACAAGGCACTTACCTGCCATTCTTGTTATTTTCCCATTATTGACTTTTTTCTTGTTCAGCGCTGAGTTTCAAATGGAGACTCCTTGAGATTTCTTCTAATCACTGAGAAGTGAATTAGTCAGCCAGGCCAGGGAGGGCTTTAGCAGTTACTGAGCTTTTCGGCAGACATGAATTACCAGCGAGTCTGGCTGTTGATAGAGAGCTGTTTAGCCATGATTAACATTCTTCTCTGCTGTTAAGGAAAACTCGTTTTTACATTCGTAACATTGGCAAGCATGAAGATGCCTCTGTATTTGTACAGGCGTGTGTATATCTGTGTATGCGCATGCATGCTTGTGTATGCAGAGAATAGGTTAACAACTAAGTCTACGTCTTTCAATAAACTTAAATAGGTTTTATTTACAAGTCTGTTTTGTCAGGGAACAAAGTGATATTAGCAAATAATTAGAAATAAACCCCCAAATATACATTTGAGAAGATCTTCACTTATTTAGATTTTTCAGGGGTTAGGGGGAACATTTATAATTAGTAAAACCTCATTAAAATAGGGGCAAGCAGGCAGCATGGTGGTTAAGGCACTGGCCAACTGCAGTTTGAGTCTTGCACCTGGCGGTTTAAAAATAATGCCAGGCGTGGGAACCAGCAGTTGGCGTAATGGCTATGTCGCTGGACTCCCCCGTAGTCGACCACGGTTTGTGTCCCGGACCCGGTGGCTTAAAACTCACGCTGGGCGCATGTGCATGCGTGCCCAAGATCCCGAGAGGAGAATGGAGGAGAAGGGATTGCGGCGTGACCATCCCCCCTGGGGGGTGATTTCTCGCTTTCTGTCTCTCTGTCTGTCTCTGTCTGTCTGGCGAGCGCACGCGCCCTATAGCAAAAATCTCTCTCCACCCCAAAAATAAATAAATAATAATACCAGGCATGTATGCATGCATGCTCCAAATCCTGAGACGAGAATGGATTGCAACATGGCCATCCCCCTTGGAGAGTGATTTCTCACTTTCTCTCACTTTTCCTCTCATTTTCTCTCTCTCTGATGCAGTTAAAAAAAATTGAGATTACCATAACAGTTAAATGTTATAAATAATTTTCAACATTCTACAAAACTATTTGTTTTAGTTAACCATTTATTTTTTTTTAATTGTTTATACTACTTTTGATTTTGTCAGAAGGCGCACATGTTCACAGGAGAGGGATGGGGATGGTGGTGAGAAACAGCCCCGCAGGATAGGTCAGGCTGCAATCCCTTCTCCATATCTCCCTTCTTTAAGGATTGTGGTCATGCCCACACATAGGTTCAAAGTGTTTTCAAGCTGCTAAGTCCTGTGCTCAAACCACACCATCGGTCATGTGGGATTGAGCCTCTTTCACTACCACACCACTGACTGACCCTTACAATTATTTTTAATCAAGATGTAATAACTGCATATATTTATGCAATTCAGAGCGATCTTTTAGTATATGAATATAATGTGTAACTATCAAATGGGGGTAATTAACATCTCTATCATCTCAAATATGTATCAGTACTATGTGTTGGAGGCATTCAAAATTCTCTCTTTTAGCTATTTGGAAAATACAACCAGTTAGTGTTACCTGTAGTTACCGTATTGTGGTATAAACCACTGGAACTTACTCGTCTTATCTTAAGTGTAATTTGTATCCATTAGTCAGTATCTCCTTATTTCCCCTCCCCTCTCCTTTCCAAGCCTCTAATAATACTGTGTTATTAGAAAAGTCATGATACGTTTCTGCATAGAAAAACACAGAAAAAATACATAATGACTTTCTCGAGTATTTCTAATACTATTCTGATACTATTCTACTTTAAACGTTTTCTTCTTTTTTTTTTTCCCTACTTTCAATTTCTATTAGGATTTCTTTAGTTTTCACATTTAAAACAAAAACATGATTTTATTATAGAAAAATGCATCACGACTTTTCCAAAAACCTAATAGTTTCTATGCCTGGCTTATTTTACTTAACATAATGGGGTTCACGTTTGTCCACACTGTCCCAAATGACAGAGTTTCATTCTTTGAAATAGCCAAGTAGTGTTCTATTGTGTATGTGTATCACATTTTCTTTATCTGTTTGTTGAAGACAGGTAGGTTGATTCCATATCTTGGCTATGTAAACAGGGTTGCAGTGAACATGGGAGGCAGATATCCTTTGGACATGCTGATTATTATTCCTTCATAGCAGAATCTAACCAAGGTTACTGGTTATGTATTGATGTGTTTATTATTATTTTCTTTTACAATTTTCTTCTGTTTTATGTCTATTTTCTGACCCAAGCAGAGAGTTAACTTTTAAGTCAGCTAGTTCAAACTTATAGAAAGGAAATGAGGGACCAGCTGTTAGCATAATGGCTTTGTTGCTGGACTCCCATGTAGTTGACTGCGGTTCGAGTCCCGGACCCAGCTTAAAAAAACTCACGTCAAGCACGTGTGTGTGCGTGCCCAAGGTCCTGAGAGGATAATGGAGGAGATGGGATTGCGGCATGGCCATCACCCCCAGGGGGTGATTTCTTGCTTTCTGTCTCTCTCTGTTTGTCTGGCGAGCACAGGTGCCCTATAGCAAAAAACCTCTACAAAAAAAAAAGAAAGGAAATAAGGAAATGAATACTTTTTAAAAATATTAGGATTTTTAAAAAATCTGTTTTAACTTAGTTTTCAGAATTTCAATTGTAGCTGCCCCTGCCCTGTGCATTTGTATTATCTTGGGTTCTGAATGCCAGTAAACTGGAAAGACCAAGTCAAGCTTGAACCCAACATCACCCAGGGGTCTCTTCGCTTCATTTTATAACTGTATTCCATGGTAGACCTGTTTTCTCTTGGCCCCTACTGCTTCTCTATTTCCTGCACAGGGTTTCATTCTTGTGCTTTACACTTGGCAATACTATTTTGTTTCCAGGTTTCCTAAGCAGTTTGGTTAAGACTCCCACCTCTGTGTGTGTTTTTCTATTTTCCAGTGGTTCAAATGACCCACTGAGGCCCCCTTGGTGTGTTTCTGGAAGTTGGGAAACTCCTCTAGCAGTGCCTGATCACTCAGGAGTTTGGGATAGTATCAACCTCAGAAATAGGTGCATGCTAACTTAGGAATAAAAGTATATAGAAAATAATGGAACACAGAATTGAGAGAAGGAGAAGGAGAGAGCTCCAAAAAGACCCAAATGAAGCAGTTCATGAATTGAGGGACTAATGCCTATGTGGTAGTGACTGCTGTTACATGTGTGACCCCATGTAGGTTTTCAAAAACTTCTGTTTAAGGAAGGAGAACAAATTGGGGTACATGTTACTTATACAGAGTCCTAGAGGTCTAATTTTAAGTTGAGTCTGAGAACCATAGAATTGCAGGGTCTTGGAGCATAGTGGTTTAGGCTCTGGGCTCCCCCATGGTGGACCACAGTTCAAGTCCCAAACCTGGCAGCTTGAAATTCACACCAGGCTCATGTGTGTGTGTGCCTAAAATTCCAAGAGGAGAATGGAGAAGGTACTGTGGCATGGCCGTCCCCACTGAGGGGTGATTTCTCACTTTCTCTCTGTCTCTCAGCAGGCACACACACACTATAGCAAAAATCTTTCTTAAAAAAAAAAAAGAATTGCAGGGTCTTTTAAGAAGTATTTTTGCTGATTTTAAGGGTTAAGGAGGCTCTGGTCAATGTATACTTGTAAGGAGCGTCTCAGGAAAATGTTTGGCAGCTTGGTTACTCCAGTCTGAAATCAGCCTGGTCTGTCATGTTGTATTGCCATCCTTTTTTTACCTCACAGTGGCCTGGGAGCCGAAAGGTTAAAGCTGGAAGTGGAGAGTTATAGCATGCCATTTTATTTGAAATATCTTTTTAAAGAGTAATTTTTAAAAGTCATTTGTCACAGCATGATTAATGTGCATGGGGACATGGATGAGTGAAAGTTGAAACTGCATATTATCAGCACTCCAGTAGGAGGCAAGGAATAAAATATGACGATAATTATTTTGAACATTTTTAAACACAGCATAGCAGGTTCCCATCTTCTCATCATTAAAGATAGACCCTGGTTTTTTAAATCCCCACTGTCAGATATTAAGGAACGTACTCATGTGTGTGCATGCACACACACATCCGTATCTATATCTCTTGTCAGAAATTAAAATGGGGTGAAAACACTATGCTTGAAAAGAATTATTCCCTGCTCATTATCTCAGCAGAATTTTTAAGTAATATTGATGTAAGTTGTAAAACTTTTAAAAAGCAGTGAGGAAATACTTCTCACAACTAATTATTTTAAATTCAATATGATCCCAACATACACTGCCTCACATGTGCTAGTTTATGTATCTAGTCTACTTTGACAGACATTAGCGATAACCATGGTTACCAATCGATCACAACTGCTCTTTAGTCATCCAACGTACTGAAAAAATAATTAATGAGTGCTTCTTTTAAACCTTCTTTGTGTGGAGTATGCGTAATAGCCCTAGACTTAACGCTGAACGTTTTTGCGTCATGGAGAGGCAAGATGTGTTAGTTCTGATTTCATTTCTACTGCTCGATACTTGAATAATACTGGTTCACTTCATTCTCAGTTTCAGTTCTCTGTATTAATGATAGGGATAGTGAAAAAATATATCTCACAGAGTTACTGTGACATTTAAATGAGTCTCTGCAAGTCACAAAAGCCATGTCTCCTGTGTCATCTTAATTCTGTGACTCGTCTTGCACTAACCCTTGGGAACATCAGCACATCACGAGAGGTCATAGGAAAATAGATCACCTCAAGATCAAGATAAGACCAAGGTAGACACAATGTATGTTATTTGTCACTGTGATGAGATGACCGAAGGAGCAAGCTGTGCACAATCACAGTAGACAGGATACCCAACCACCTCAAAACTTCTTGTTTCTGGTTGAAACTTTCCCTATTGCCCTCAAACTGAAGCACCAGCTATATCTTATAAAGCATATTTTCTCCACATAAAATTAAGAAGGTATGTAATGAACAATTTTTACATCAGGCATCCCCTCTTGTTTTAATATCAAGACCTCTATTTTTCTTTGGAAAATCATTCCCCGAAAGTAACCAATAACATAGAGTCTCCACCCCTGCCTTTTTACACATGAACATGAACCAAAATCCCACAGGGTTATAAAATTTGTGTCTATTATTTGAAGTTGCATATGACATAGTATGTTTTTTCCAGCATGATTTGTTAGAGAAAGATTATGCATCTTGAGTCATTTATTTCTACTTTGTTTGTTCTAATTATTGTTGATGTTTATGCCAGAGTTTATTCTTCCATGCCCTTTTGGGAAGGGCTTTCAGTCCATTCTCCAACTTTTCCTCTTACCGTTTACGAAGATGATAATATCTCTACATACACATGCGAGAGCTTCTGTATGATAATTCACCTAAAAGGGGAATTCGTGGGTCTCACGCAATAAAAACACCTTCAATTTAATTGATATTGTTGATTGATACTTTGGTTATTTTTAATCAAGTTTATTATTTTTCTTTTTTTTTTTGGAGAGATTTTCACTGTAGGGCGCATGCGCTCGCCAGACAGACAGAGAGAGACATAGAGACAGAAAGCGAGAAATCACCCCCCAGGGGGGATGGTCAAAGCCATGTCTCCTGTGTCATCTTAATTCTGTGACTCGTCTTGCACTAACCCTTGGGAACATCAGCACATCACGAGAGGTCATAGGAAAATAGATCACCTCAAGATCAAGATAAGACCAAGGTAGACACAATGTATGTTATTTGTCACTGTGATGAGATGACCGAAGGAGCAAGCTGTGCACAATCACAGTAGACAGGATACCCAACCACCTCAAAACTTCTTGTTTCTGGTTGAAACTTTCCCTATTGCCCTCAAACTGAAGCACCAGCTATATCTTATAAAGCATATTTTCTCCACATAAAATTAAGAAGGTATGTAATGAACAATTTTTACATCAGGCATCCCCTCTTGTTTTAATATCAAGACCTCTATTTTTCTTTGGAAAATCATTCCCCGAAAGTAACCAATAACATAGAGTCTCCACCCCTGCCTTTTTACACATGAACATGAACCAAAATCCCACAGGGTTATAAAATTTGTGTCTATTATTTGAAGTTGCATATGACATAGTATGTTTTTTCCAGCATGATTTGTTAGAGAAAGATTATGCATCTTGAGTCATTTATTTCTACTTTGTTTGTTCTAATTATTGTTGATGTTTATGCCAGAGTTTATTCTTCCATGCCCTTTTGGGAAGGGCTTTCAGTCCATTCTCCAACTTTTCCTCTTACCGTTTACGAAGATGATAATATCTCTACATACACATGCGAGAGCTTCTGTATGATAATTCACCTAAAAGGGGAATTCGTGGGTCTCACGCAATAAAAACACCTTCAATTTAATTGATATTGTTGATTGATACTTTGGTTATTTTTAATCAAGTTTATTATTTTTCTTTTTTTTTTTGGAGAGATTTTCACTGTAGGGCGCATGCGCTCGCCAGACAGACAGAGAGAGACATAGAGACAGAAAGCGAGAAATCACCCCCCAGGGGGGATGGTCACGCCGCAATCCCCACTCCTCCATTCTCCTCTCGGGATCTTGGGCACGCACGCACATGCGCCTGGAATGAGTTTTAAGCCACTGGGTCCGGGACACGAACCGCGGTCGACTACGTGTGAGTCCAGCGACATAGCCATTACGCTAACTGCTGGTTCCCAAGTTTATTATTTTTCTGAGTTGAGTTTCTCATATAATTTAGTTATCATCTCATTAAAAGATACAGTTTTTTTTTCTTTTAAATTATTTATTTCACCAAGGGTAAAAGAAACTTCCTCTAATTGTATTAGGTTGTCGGGAAAGTCACAATGTGTTTTTGCATAGAAAAATGCGACCCAATATATCTTTTTTTTTCTTTTATTTTTTTTATCATCATCATAATCTTCTTTATATTACATTGGATTACTTATAACTTTACAGTGTATTACATTGCTTTTTCAAAAGGGAATGCCATGCATGTCAGTCAGTACAGAGACATTAATCTCCCCACTTCAACATTCAATATCTTTTCTATGTTTTCCCCAATTATTATTATTATTATTCTAATTATTTTTTAAAACAGTC